GACAGTGAATGTTCGTGGATGTAGTGCCAAGCAAACGGGCTGCTTTGTCCTGGATATTGTCAAGCTGCTGGAGTGTTGTTGGGGGTGCACTCATCCAGGCAAGTGGGAAGTATTCCATCACACTCCTGGCTTGTGCCTTGATGATGGTGGACAGGCTTTTAGGAGTCAGGAGATGAGTTACTCGTACAGTATTCCCAGCTTCAGGCCTGCTCTTGTAGCCACTCTGTTAACGTGGTGAGTCCAGTTGAGTTTCTGGTCAATGGTAACCCCCAGGATGTTGATAGTGGGGGATTCAGTGATGGTAACACCATTGAATGTCAAGGGGCGGTGGTTAGATTGTCTCTTATTGGTGATGGTCATAGCTTGGCATTTGTGTGGTGCAAATGTAACTTTAGTGGCTTAGTGGCTTTCAAGAACCTTTTCAGAGGGCAGCAAAGAATCAAACACATTGCTGTGGGTCTGGAGTCACATATAAACCAGATTGGGTAAAATTGACAAATTTCCTTCCCCAAAGAAAATTAATGAACCAGATGGGATTGTATGAATTCAACAATGTTTAGACAATTACCTTTAGACTACTTTTTAAATTCCAGATTTTTATTGAATTCAAAATTTCACCAGTGTGATTTGAACTCATATCTCCATAGTGTTAGGCTAGTTCTCTGGATCATTAGGGACATTGCCATTCCCTTCCCAAGAAAAAAAACTTCTTGATCAAATACAGTTTCCCAAGCTGTATAAATCATTAGTAATGCTGAATTTATACTGCTAATGCAATAATTTAGCAAGACAATCAAGTTAGAAAAAAGGCCATCTACTTTCTTCCCAGCAGAATAGGCTAGCAGTAATTGCTGAGTAAAGGATAACAGTTAAAGAGTAATGCTTTTCATCAGTTACACACGCCCTCATGTGGCAGTGTTTAGCGAGAGCTTGCTTAGTAGAAAATATGCACATTAAAAGTGAGGCAAACAATTGTAAACCACCCATGAAGAAATAATAAGCAGACATTAAAATATCTGCTTAATGGGAGGTTAGGATTATGGATTTCCACCTTTTGGTTAAAATCAGGTCATCTGATGAAATCTACTAATTGTCGTGATCGGAGGAGAGTCAACATTACTTCATGTTCCAGAGTTCTCGTTCGGGTTTTAAATCAAAATTGCTCTAGACAGCATTGACATTTTAAACTTAAGAAGAAAAATGATTTTTCTGATTGAGACAGAGTGTATACCATTTGTAATTTGTCAAGTCCAGTAGAAGCCAACATCTCAGGAGAGGAACAAAAACAGAAGTTGCTGGAAAAGCTCAACAGGTCTGGCAGCATCTGTGAAAAAAAAATCAGAGTTAACTTTTTGGGTCCAGTGACCCTTCCTCAGAACACTCAGGAGAGGAGTTTATAAAATGCAATGAAATTAATATATTAGAAAGATCCACAATTTCTCAGGCAAAAAAGGTACTCAGCAAATTAATAGGATTGAGGGCAGACAAGTCCCCCGGGCCTGATGGCCGACATTTATCACTTATATTGGGGATATAGTTTGTTTTGCTGGTAGTTATTCCTGTCTTCTATTCATCACCTCAAGGTCAGTTACGAATGAGCAATATATGTTTCCTTTGCCAATGGTGCCCTCATCCTGTGAATTAGTATTAATGTCTAATGTAAAAGGTTAACTGTATCTATACAGTTCCACTTACTGTGGTTTTCCTTCCACATACTCATGTGATATTTACCTCCCAAATGTATGTTCATAAGATGTAGGGGAAGAATTAGGCCATTCAGCCCATCGAAGTCTTCCCACTATTCAATCATGGCTGATATGCTCCTCACCCTTATTTTCCTGCCTTCTCCCCATAACCTTTCAACCCATTACCAATTAAAAATCTAACTCTTCCTTAAATTTACTCACTGTCCCAGCATCCACCGCATTTTGGGGTAGTGAATTCCACACACCCACCACCCTTTGGGAGAAGTAGTTTCTCCTCAACTCGGTTTTAAATTTGCTACCCCTTATCCTAAGACTATGACTTCCCATCCTGGAATGCCCCACAAGAGGCAGCATCCGGTCCACATCTATTTTATCTATTCCTTTTATGATCTTGAATACCTCAATTTGATCTCCCCTCATTCTTCTAAATTCTAGAGAGTATAGGCCTAAACTGTTCAATTTCTCTCCATATGACAAACCCCTCATCTCTAGGATCAATTTAGTGAATCTCCTCTGGACTGCCTCCAGTGCCCTTACATCTTTCCTCAAATAAGGGGGCCAAAATTGTGCACAGCACTCCAGGTGCGTTCTCAACAATGCCTTGTATAGTTGCAACAATACTTCCTTACCTTTATATTCTGTTCCTTTAGCTACAAAAGCCAACATTCCATTCACTTTCTTTATTATCTGCTGTACCTGCACGCTAGTTTTGGTGACGCATGAACGAGGACAGCTAGATCCCTCTGCACTGGAAGTCTCTCCACATTTAGATGATAGGTTTCCTTCCCATTTTTTGGACCAAAATGCATGACCTCATGCTTATCCATGTTAAACTCCATCTACCACATTTTGGCCCACTCTCCTAACCTACCTATATCCATTTGTAAGGTTTTTATTTCCTCATTGCAATTTACTGTCCTGCCTATTTTTGTGTCATCCACAAATTTGGCTATGGAGCCTTCTATATCTGTATCCAAGTCGTTAGTGTAGACTGTAAATAGCTGGGGTCTAAGGACCAAACCCTGTGCCGTACCACTCGTTACTTCTTGCCATCCAGAAAAAAAGATCATTTATGCTGACTCTGCCTTCTGTCCATCAGCCAGTCACCTATCCAAGCTAATAAATTACTCCTGATCCAACCTTGTGAATTAACCTTTCATGTGGCACCTGATCAATCGCCTTCCAGAAATCCAGATATATTACATCTACAGGATCCTCATTATCCACTTGCTAAACCTTTGAAGAACTCTTGCAAACTAGTCAAACATGATTTGCCCTTCATAAAACAATGCTGACTCTGATGGATAGCGTTCCGACATTCCAAATGTCCTGATATTGCTTCCTTGGTAGTCGATTCTAACACTTTGCCAACAACAGGTGTTAAACTAACTGGTCTGTAATTCCCCACATTTTGCCTCCCTCCCCTTTTGAAAAAGAGCATTATGTTAGCATTTTTCTAATCTACTGGAACATTTCCTGTATCCAGGGAATTTTGAAATATTGTAACCAATGGATCCACTATCACTTTTACATTTGTGTTGACGTATGGGGTATTTAAACTGAAAGAGAATTAAGAATTCATACGTATGCACAAAAATAATCAACATTCCCTTTGATTATTTTTTCTTCCTCATGGACCTCAGCAGGTCCATTCCACAAGCAGAGTCAATGTGGGCCATGGAACAACCAGCAGCTTAGAGGAAACTTGCTCTCCATCAAACCTATGTCACAAAACACATGAAAGCATTAATTCCTATGTACCACAAGGCAACAGGAATAAGTTAACAAAAGATTTTTTTTTCAAAATAACTGATGTTTCTTTCGAAAAGCCAACACCCTAAAAACACTTTCCACAGACTGGTGAGGTCACAGCTGATACATTCCATTGCACAAATTTTAACCAGGTAGTTACTACCCTTCTTACTAACTCTCACATTTGAATTTAACAATGAACAATGGCCATTACAGCCAGAACTATCACACCTTTTCCTGGATATAGTTGCTCCTGAATTTATGCAAACTTAACTGGATATTACACGTTCAACTACAAGCAATTCATTGGTGATCTAAAGTTTTCTTCACTTCCCAATTAGCTTAGTCCTTAGTTGACAAGTTTGAAACTGTTCCTTCTCCTTTGCATCCTCCTTCTCCCCCTCAGATTTCTAACAGCCATCTCCTCCCCTCAATACCCACCCACCTCCAGCAGACAGCACATCTGTGCTCAACAGAAGGCTCTTAATCCCAGCCTCGACTAAAGGCAGCCCCCAATGTGGATCTTGAAGAAAAGCTTACATGGCAACTCCCCTCACTGCTACCATTTACATAGCTGCCTAAGGCTGCTAACAGGCTCATTTGAGCAAATACAAGTGGAGCAAAGTGTGAAGAGAGGAGCAACTGCTCATGATTACCTTCCATTCTACTTCCAGGCCTTTTTATGATTATTTTCACCTTAAGTGAATTTTCCAAAACAAGTGGAGACTTTCCGGGGCGGATCTGCCAGCCATCCCAGAGTATTTTGAGCATTCATTCTGCTCATGTAGAAGAAACCAGTTGTTTTCTGAATGTACAAGGTCACATTATCCAGTATACAATGAAAAGGGCCCGATTCCTCAGATTAACTAAGGAATTCTTAATTAGATATTAGTCATAAACAGACAGCCCAAACTAAAGGCGTAAGCCACAAACTATTTAGAGCAAGCCTAAAACTGCTAACACATTGAAAGGGAGATACAAAATCTTAAATATATGCTAAAGAATGTTCACCATTAGCTAAAATACAAACAAAATTGTGTTAGATGCCTTCCAACTCCATTCTTAATCCTGGGAGAAGGGGGAAATAATCACATTTTGAAGAAATGAAAACATTTAGCTTAATATGTCCTGTAAGATTACTGTTACCTAATTGGCTCATCAGGTGTTATGTAGCCTACAATTGCAAAAAAATCTTTTATACATGACCATTACATTCACCGAGTGGGTTTCATCAGTTTCATTTTGAAAGCCACATATCGGTTTGATTTGACAAAACTATGAATTTTCTAATCAGATTCTTATTAAAACTCAAATTTGACTTTTATAGCAGATTTATTCATAAACATTTTCATCTTCACAAATTTTTAGAAAATTCAACATTCACCACTTTGTTTTATAAAACAAAGAAAACTACAATAAAAAATTGAATTACTTGCAGTGCATCTTATGAAGATAATATTCTGTCCTTTTTGTGTTGGAGAAAACAGAATAGTAGATTCTACCATAAGTGTGTCAAGTCCTTAGTTATGAATACAATCAGAGTGAAGCTAGCACCATTAGATGGATATTTATTTATTTTTACAAAATCACCCAAAATTTTTTTTCAATTGCAAACAAGTCAGTATAATTAACAACTTAAAACCAAATACTAATAGGTTACCTTTCAGTAAATTCAGAGTTATTGGCAGTTGAGCTCCGACTTTCTCTTTTTGAATTCAGTTCCATAATTTCTGAATCCTTTCCGAAAGAGGAGTTTTATCTGATCCTCACTCCACTATGCTGTAGCTACCAGCTGTCAGGCAGTACTCCAGAACAGTGTAGGGTTAAGTAACAGGCTTGTCCCCTTACTGTAGAATTAGCTTCCAGACAATTCAAATAGAATGTGTGGAATCAAGGGGGACAGGGTGCAAATGCAGGCAGTGAACAGATGTATGGGGGCTAGGGTGTATCATCTCCCTTCAGAACAACATTTTGGTTTAATTTGATAAGTTTCTGCTGAAACACCGATGTGTGTTCCAGGTGCTATTTTTAAAAAAAAGACTGTTGCTCATTTATTTTATTAAATTAGTTCATTTTTGGGATGTTATTTAAAATAGCATGTCACTGGATGCAACAGTTACATTGAAGGATAATACAGGATGAAAACACTTCTTCAAATCACTTATTTTCAACCTGTAATAAATGTTCATAGGTTTTGCAAAGTAACCAAGCAATGAGCCATTTCCTTCAAACCTGTACAAAATGAACCCCGTGAAACCGAACCATAGTAAACACTGGAAGTAATACTCTCCAACGGAGGATACAGCAAAGACTTTCTGTAAATATGTCACTGCATTTCAAGTACAGTAGTCCCTCACAATAATACTCCCATTGGGAGTAATCAAAACACATTAATAAATGGAAAGCAGCCAATCTACATCTGCTACAATATAAATAAGACAATTATAAAAGGATCACTGCATATACAATTCTTGAGATTAGACGAAAAACATTGTCAAACTATTTTCAACCTGCATGTGTATTATCTTTGTTCAGTTAACAGGGTGGTGAATGAATTTGACCCAAAAAGTCTCCTAGTTTGGAGGACCCAGCCTAGCACATCTTTAACTGAAACCTTAACTCTCAGATGATAGATGGATTCTCATAGGTTATTTTTTTTTCTGTATAAAAGTAGAAAGAATGTGAAAAGGAACAAATTAATTTGTTCATCGATCTTCTCTTCACTCTTCGTTGAAATATCATCCAGCTTCTTTCATTCCACATTAGACGGGAACTGGATATTTGAATCAAACAAAATATTGACCATTTAACGTGTAAGGCATTGGCAGTATTTTCCTAAGACTAGTCAATGATGATAACTGATTTCATAAGCACTGCCCAATATAGGGCTTACTCTGGAGACCACATTTAGGAAACACTTCTTTACAGAAGCTGTTCAATAGCCTGAAGTTACAAGAATAGTTACAGGAAGCATGACCAAGAACAAGACACTGGAATTATTTAAGAACTAGCTGCATGTAGCAAGTGGGAAGATGGTAGCAGTCAAAAAAATAGTTCCTTGTGCTGCACTTCAGTTATAATCAGCTGAGTCTGGCAGTTTAGACTGGCAGAAAATTTTCCCAATTTGAAATATTAAGTTTTCCAATTGCTCAGCTGGTAAGTGCTCTGCCTGTTCTGAAAAACAGCATTGCAGACCAGAAGGCACCAGAATGTACAGAGGGTTGCCAATTCAGCTGGATTATTGCAACATAGTACACAGAAACCAGTTGTTCTAACGAGCAGGAAAAGAAAAATAATGCATAACAGCCACCGGATAATCATCCGGTGGTCACGGCATCAGTGGAAAATTGCAGCAAACGACTTACACATGAACACCTCTGAGGAAAACAGTTACTACCTGTGGAACCAAAAGCATGAAGAAGTCAGCAACCTCAGGAGAGAAAGAAGTGGTGTACCCTATTAATATTGAGAATGTTTGTTCATTACTCATTGGCAACTACATAATGGAAGTGATTTTATGGAAAATTTGGCTGTTCTTCAACCAGAAAGGTCATAGTTAGAAAATGAGTTGAACAAGTTGCAAATGCAAAGGAAATTGGCAGATGAAATTTAATACAGACACATGTAAGATATTGCATAGAAAAGGAGGAAACATTTCTACTCCTTGAAAGATTCTGATGTAGTCATGGATTAAGTTTAAAGCAGCAGAAATCTTATTAGGCCAAATGTTAAACATGACAAATAGATGCATATCAAAGAGAAAAAGAGAGGAAACTGTGAAATAACGGGGAAGTCATTGCTCAAACTATATAATGCTTTGGTCATAGCTTGATCATTGTGTCCAGTTGTGGTCAGTAAGACATAATGGATATATTCAAGACCTGGATGCAATGAAGAGAAAATCTACAGGGCCAAGAGTTAAGTGGCTCCTGAAAAATAAATTGTTTGACTACGATTTGGGGTGAGGGAGCAGGGATGTGCATCAATAGTATCAAAGGAAATTTTAGAATCAATATTAGAAAGTCTGTCTCATGCAGATTTCCGGTAGAGTGATTCATAGGATTTCTGTTTCCATTTAAAAACCAATTGGATTATGTAATAGGATGGGTTAACCAACTTCCTAGATTTGTAATTACCTTACAATCTTGTTCAAGAACTTAAAGGTATTCGGATTACTAGAATAAGCTTATTAACTTCTAGCTGTTCGACATTCTACAGGAAGCAACAAAGTATCTATCCACTTTCTCCTCCTCCATCCCCATCACGGCACACCTTTGAGGAGTGTTTGTATATTTGCTGTAATTTTGTAGTGACAATTATGTTGCAAGCACCAGAAAACAGCCATTGTCTAGGTCCACTTACACCTCTCTGCTGAGAATACTAAATCAAACTCATTTGAAGAGATATCAGGAGGTCCACCATTAGCATGATTTTTTCAAAAAAAAAAAATCATAAAGGCTTTGCAATTCTATGGTGACAAATAATTACAATTTAGGTATCAGTTACAATAGTTACACAGCATAGAAAGTGCTTTCATGTAATATCAGCATCTAATTTGATGCTTGAATTTTACAGGATTAAAAACAATTACAGCTCAAAAGGGCTCAGTCTTGCAGATCTTTGTTGGCTGTGAATTATGCAGTAATATCCTTACAGTGAGATTTTCAGCAGAATCACTCCAATAATTTGAAATGTTGTATCCTTGTAATGATCCAATCTGGTTCCACACCTTGTGTGAATTCACGCCGAAATCTAAAATTAATAAGAAGTGTAGAATTGGCTAAATTTGAAGGGCAATTAAAGAAAATTCTCATTGTCATATAGCATTAAGAATAATAGAACAAGTACTTAAAATGCTATAGATCTCAACATTAAAAGACAAAACAGGTCCACCTTCCTGTAATGTTCTTCTGACCTCTCACTACCTTCAAGTGGATCATAGTTCTTTTGGGCCCATTTTGTGGTACCTCACGCAACTGCTCATTTCACATAGTCCTAGACAGTGAACAACTTTAGATTATCCAAACTAATTAATCATCATAGCAAAATATGTTCTTGCCCTTACCCCATGTTCATATTTGGGCACACTCCAACAGAAGCCACTGAAATGTGTCTAGAAGCAGTAGCCTGGAATATTTTGTCCTGTCTTCACTTCACCTCCAAATTTACAGATCTAGAACTTTGTTAATGTGTAAAACTTATTATCCACACTCAGCAACACATTGATCAACTGCACTATTCCTTGTCATTTTCTATCTACGGAATTATAGAAATTCATAACCCAACGATATTTTGCAGTATTTCATATTAACAATATGTATAGTTCGGCTTGCTCAAGTGCATACATTATCAAATTTCACTCAGATTTCTAAACATATGCTGTCTCTAAGGGAACTGATTGTATCACAGCCATGTTGCAACGTAATCAAAGACTTTCAAACTGATTATTATCAGGTAAATTTGATAGATAGTCAAACATGTTTTTGAGCCAGAATTATTCTGCGTTTACCAAACTTCAATTGTATACCACTCTTGAACAAAAATGTGGGACAAATGACAAAAGATGTACTGGAGTGTTTCTTGCAACAGAATTGCACTAGGTTTTCCAGCCACTTTCACTTATAAACTTTTGTGCTCGAGGTGAAGGGTGTTCATTCTAGGGAAGATAACGTTTCCCTATTTCAAACACCCAGTTTCAGCACCAAGCATTTGTAAGTAGTACAGTAGTCTGTTATAGACAGAACTCTTTCTGCCATGCTCTAACCCCTGTTCCTACATTATCAATTCATGACCCGGTTCCTAATGAGGCTGCTAGTCATAGGTCAATTTGTGCTGTAAACCCACACAAAATGGTGAACTGGACTCACATTGGCCAAACTATATAAATCAACAGGCAGATAAGACTTCCAATCATCAAGTGGAGTTGGAATTGAGCCTAGGTGAAAGTCACTCAAGGTTCTTGGTTTAGAGTATTCTTGATTTTTGTTTAATGTGCTTCCACTATTTGCAAGCGAATAGCATAAGAATGGGCTGACATTTGAACAAATCTGAATCAAGCCTAATTGAGCAGCAGATAACCATGTCAGATTAATACTACATATTTTAACTGGGAGTCCAATACATGACAGCTGTGTTTCTTAATCCTTAGACTTTAATGTTTCAGCAAGAGATGTGAAAGAATTATTTCAGCAACTTCATAAACTCAAACATTTAAGACAGATGAAAAGAATGATGTACTGTACTTAGTCTTATTCACTTCCAATATAACTTTTAAGAATTAAGTTTCCATTCACAGGATGGTGCATGAAGCCAGCTATTTGATCCATCATGCCTGTCCCAGCTTTGTTGAAGAGTAATCCAGTTAGTTCCACCCTAACTACAGTTGTTTTCACCTTTAAATATTTATCCAATTCCTTTTGCTAAACTACTACTGAATCTATTTTCACTATCCTCCTAGGTAGCCCATTCCATAAACTTAATCACTTGCATTACAAAGATGACATTTGTGTTATCCTTGGTTCTTTTATCACTCATTTTAAATCTGTGCTCTCTGTTTATCAATCCTTCAGCTACTGAAAAAGTTCACCCCTACTAATTTTATCTAAATGCATCATGACTGTAAACATTTCAACCAAATCTTCTATTGGCCTTCACTATTCTGAAGATTACAACCCCAGATTTTTCAGTCTACCCACAGAACTGAAATTTCTAACCCAAAAACCATGCTAGTAAATCTCTGCTGTACACCATCCAGAGCCTTCACACCCTCTGCAAGTGTGGTGCTCAGAACAGGACACAAAATCCCAACTAAGGCCAAACAAATATTTATACTGATTTATCATAACTTCCTGGCTTTTGTACACTAGTACCTTTACTTATAGAGCAGAGAATCCTGTGTGCATTATTAATTGCATGTTAACCTGTCCTAATACCTCCAGATTGTGCTTCCTGAATCCATTTTACAATTTAGCAAATTTCTCCTCTCTTCCACAAAATACATCACCTTACTTTTCTGCATTTAATTTCACTACTTATCCACTCATGTCCTCAGCCCGGCCACATTCTCCTAAAATCTATTGCTCATTCATGTTCATTACAATTCAAGTTTGTGTCACCTGCGATTTCAAATTAACCAATATATTTCAAGGGTAATGCTGATTCCCTGATGAGTGGTGACTCTACACACTTCTCTGTTGCCCTTTGTAGGTCACCCCATAAACCAATTCTTCCTGTGTTGTCAGAAGTCTTGCTGCAACTCTGGAATCATTGTGGGAAATTGATTTGTTCCACGACTTATTCGCCCAGCGCACCCTCAGCTAGCTGCAAGAGGTAAAGTCAGACATTTGTCACAATGAAAAATAACAAGGCCAAATTCATGTTACACCCAGCCCTGGGAAAGTAAGATGGTACAATCATTTGGTTGTGAAACAATATCAACTGAGTTTCCTCTTCTGGTTACATGTCGTTAAAATAAGCAATTCATTATGTACGTTTAAGATTCAATTAGCAGTATATGTCTTCAATAAAACTGCCAAAACTCCTAATAGTGCAGTGGAAGAGCTAGGTTTACTTAAAACAACTTACTCATAATTGGCTGTGAGAAGGCGTAAGCTGTCTTTGCTGCCTTCATCACCAAAGACGACTTGAAAGACTTTTGTTCCCTCAGGTGTCTCATCAGGAAGGTCAACATCAGTCAGGTACCAGTAACGCATTATTATACTGACAAACTTTCTACCTGTTGAGATAACAAAACATAAAAGCTGACATTCTGATAACAAGAAATTACTTGTACAGTAGAACAAAACCCCAAATTACGAATAACTACACTGATATCATAAGAACTAACCATTTCATTTTAAAAAGCACAGTTGCACATACAAACTAAAAATGATAGGAATGGTACATTTCCAATGTGGCATATTTCAGCTGGAGAGAGCATGAAACAGACCACCACCTGGTTCCAATTTTGTCACTCTCATTAGTGCAAACGTAGCCAAGAACAATGGTTACTTAGTAACCTATCAGATGATCTGGCCCTTTATCCAACTGTGACATTGTAGGGAAGGAGGCAGTAGGTTTAATTCCTGATACAACAAAGCAAGTGTTATAAAGCAGAGGTCAACCCCCGCTGATAACTAAAGCCGAAACACCCAGAGAGGCTTGCCTCACCCTATAATCTGTTAAAAGAAGTGTGAAAAAGTGGTATAACCTGCCTCTCACCCCGAATCTGTTATAAAGCGGTGGTTAAATGAAATAAACTCCTAACTCTCACTCTATAAGCAAAAAGTAACAATTTATCTAACTCTAATACTGAACAAATTAACCGAACTATTAACAAACCGAACAATTCCCTTCTAACTACTAACTATTCCCAAATAAAACAAAATTCTAATGGAATGCTGTTCCAATAAATGCAAGTCCCACTTATGTAAACCAAATTAATAAAAAAAAAAAATTAGAAATTAGTCCCTCAAAATTACAGCCAACGTACTTCTTCCAGAATGTTCTGTGCCTTCTCCATTCATCTTCTATCAGGAACGCCTTCTCCTTCGAATTTGTGTGGCAGGAATATTAGGTAAGAGTTCCGCAGTGCCTTTATTTAGATGATGCTTACTCTGAGGCTTAGAGAATTCTGTGACAGCCAGTGATTTTCTCGTTAAAGCTGATGGTTAACTCTAGCAGATGGCACATTGCTCTCACCCTGATTTTCAAATCCCTCTTCTTTTATACCCTTGATGACATATTAATTTCTTACAATAGGATCGGCCCTATCTTGTCACAACTATCAGATTTAAATTTAATTGGTTTTTGATCTCTAAGTGCCTGGTTTAAATTAAGTGGCCATAATCCAACTTGTCATCTTGATAACAAAATAAAACTGCTACTTGGATTGCTAACTCCACGGCCTTTTGATACAAATGTTTTAATTCAGAGGCTCTGTGAACCTGCAAACCCACAAGCTGCTGCCCACAGACTTGTTTTAATCTCGAAGCCTAGAAAAAGCACATCGTCTTTTAAAGGGACCACAACTCTTCCCCTATATCATTTTACAAACATCAAATTCTAACATCCTGCCTTCTAATCCACAAGTACTCTACCCAACTTCACAACAATAGCAGCTCTGTTGAACTTTGAGGTTTCTAGACACCTACTTCATAATGGACATACACATTAAAAGGTAGCAATACTATGCACTAGATCTTTTTAGTAAATGGCAAAGTATTTCTTTCAATACAGTTCCCTTCAATTATTGTTTTAAAAATGTTCATGGGATGTGACCACTGCTGGCTCGGCCAAAATTTATTGCCCAACCCTAAATGCCCTGGAGATGATGATGGCAGAGAGCAGCTTTCTTGAACTGCTGCAGTCCTTGGGGTGTAGGGACACCCACAGTGCTGTTAGGGAGTTCCAGGATTTTGAATCAGTAGTGAAGGAACAGCAATATTGTTTTGCATTAGCATGGTGTGTGGCTTGGGCGGCAATTTGCAGATGGTGCTGGTGCCATGTAGCTGCTCCCTTATCTTTCATTGTGAAAGGAGGTTTGGAAGGTGATGCTTTGGTGAATTACTGTAAGCCATCTTGGGAGCTGCTTTGCGCCTGAATGGTGTCAAGCTTCTCAGGTGCTGTTGGAGCTGCAGCCATCCAGGCAAGTGAACAGCATTCAATCATGCTTGTGCCTTGCAGACGGTGAACAGGATTTGGGAACACAAGAGGCAAGTTACAATCCACAGAATTTCTAGTCTCTGACTTGCTCTCATAACCACCATATTTATATGGCAGGTCCAGTTAAGTTTCTGCTCAATGGTAACTCCCAAGATGCTATGGAGGAATTCAGCAATGGTAATACTACTGAACATCAAGGGGCGATGGTTAAATTATCTCTTGTTTACTGCTCTGATCTCAAGGGCAGTCACTCTCACCTCACCTCTGAAGTTCAGCTGTCATCTATGTTTGAAACAACAGGCAGTATGACAGCTCAGTGGTTAGCATTGCTGCTTCACAACACCAGAGACCCAGGTTCAATTCCAGCCTTGGGTGACTGTGGAGTTTTCACATCCTCCCTGTGGGTTTCCTCCACATGCTCTAATTATTTGCAGATTAGGTGGATTGGCCATGCTAAACTGCCTAAAGCGTCCAGGGATGTGCACGCAAGGTGTATTAGACATGGGAGATGCAGGGTAATGGACAGGATTGGGATCTATCTAGTTTTGCTCTCAAATACATTCATGCTATTCACCTCTCATATTCGTTATGGTTTCAAGATGTGGCAAAAGCCTGGGAATGGATTTCAATGGCCACATGGCATTGGTAGTTATAAGGATGGATTTGGGAGGTTCTGAAGCTCAGTTCACAAGCTAAAAATGACAAAGAAAGGTATAATGGCCCAGATTTTCCACTGGCCAGACAGACAGTCATTTTATGAGCATAGATCAGAGTCACACAAAAACACACTATAAGAATTGCCTGGGAAATTGTATGGTCCGCTGGGCAATTCCTCTATATCTAAGATATTCTGAAAGTCTCCACTGAAATCAGACACTTGGGATGGTTCTGTTGAAATTAAGTAAAATACTCAGGATAAGTTTGACAATTAGATAAATAGTAAAACTCCTCAGTAACAATTAAATTGACCCCATACTTAGGCACACCCCCAACTAGACCTTCCCAAGAGCTGAACTTAACACTCAGCTGTATCTGACCAGACACCACTACCCATCCCTGCTGGCCTGACCCAATTTCTCCTACCTACCGCGACCTACTCGAAACACCAAATCACCTACCTTGTTATCTTGCACCCCCTACCCAGCTGGCAAAACAATCATGGCAACCAACCAGCTAACAGAGCTAACCTATTCACCTGTCATCCTTCCTACTTGGCACCCTATCCCCATCACCCTCTCAGCACCTTAACATCACACTTAGCTTATGTACTTATGCTTTGAAAGCAGCTGTCACAACTTTACATTTCAGGATACAGCAGCTGACTGTTGTCAAAAGTTGGCATGATTTGCCTTCCACAGACAGTTCTGCATTCCAAAATAACTGTCAGAATGGACGTACAGCTCTGACAGAGCCCAGAGTTAAATCTCCTCTCAGAAATACACAGCTCCCTTCCCCTTTGGGAAAAAAGAACTTGCAACCTCACAAGACTCCCATTCCTTGGAAAATTCAGCCCAATATTGCTTTTGATAACCCTACCAGATCCAGCACTGGATGCAAACATCAATGAGCTCCAAGTGCATTGCCAACCCCCAGATTTAGGACATGATATGGGAATTGCTGCTGAGGAAATTGAAGATAGAAGCAAAGCAAGTTTAGTGCAATAGCTGTGCCAAATCAGATGGACATCCAGTGGAGAAAGTTGAGATGGTACTGCAAAGATGTGAAGAAAGGTTTTAAGTTTCTCCTGGGCTGGAGATAATTGTCAAAGGGTCTGCAGTAAGTAGAATGACGTGGATATTCAACAAATTGAGGAAACTGAAATGGCTTTGACTAAAGTGAAACCTTCAGGTGGTAGGACCTTATGTTGAGAAGATCAAGCGAATTCATGAGGAAGAAGAATACCCAGGAGGGCTTCTTAATAATGAGTGTGAGATTTATTGAAGATTTGAATGCAGTGATATCAGGAGCCACAAAGAGAAGGTAGGTGAAAAGAAATAACTGTTGGGGAACCACTCAGTGCAGAAGACTAAGAAACAGCATGTGGACTTATTGGGGTGACAG